ATGTGTATAAGAGACAGACCCCCAGCAGTGCTACAGGCTTGGGGAGGAGTGGCTGGAGAGCTGCCAGTCAGAGAGGGACCTGGGGGGGTGATTGACAGCCGGCTGAACATGAGTCAGCAGTGTGCCCAGGGGGCCAAGAAGGCCAATGGCATCCTGGCTTGTGACACAAATAGTGTGGCCAGCAGGGACAGGGAAGGGATCTTACCCCTGTACTCAGCACTGGTGAGGCTGCACCTCGATTCCTGGGCTCAGTTTCAGCCCCTCACCCCAGAAAGGTCATTGAGTGACTTGAGCATGTCCAGAGAAGGGCAACAGAGCTGGTGCAGGGTCTGGAGCACAGGTCTGCTGGGGAGCAGCTGAGGGAACTGGGGGGGTTTAGTCTGGAGAAGAGGAGGCTGAGGGGAGACCTCATCGCCCCCTACAGCTCCCTGAAAGGAGGGTGCGGAGTGGGGGGATGAGTCTCTCGAACCAAGGAACAAGTGCCAGGACAAGAGGGAATGGCCTCAAGCTGCGCCAGGGCAGGGTCAGACTGGCTCTTAGGAAGTATTTGTTTGCAGAAGGGGTTGTTGGGCGTTGGAATGGGCTGCCCAGGGCAGGGGGGGAGTCCCCATCTCTGGAGGGGTTGAAGAGTCGGGTTGACCCAGCGCTGAGGGATCTGGTGGAGTTGGGAATGGTCTGTGTGAGGTTAATGGTTGGACTGGATGAACTTCAAGGTCTTTTCTAACCGAGATGATTCTGTGATTCTGTGAAACATGAATTACATAGATGCCTGAAGCAGATGCTCAGAATGTCAGATTGACATTTTAGGCTGAGATCTAAACGGGAGCATTATGATGCTTTGGAAGTGCTCTTTGTAAGGTAGAGCTATACGTTGCCTACTCACATGGGCTGCCTTAGATGATCAAAACAGCTGGAGCTGAACGTGTGCACCTTTTCCTCTGCACTAAGGTTGTGAGTTCCAGTTGCCAAACATTCATTTGTGCGTTCCAGTTGCCAAACAGCCTCAGTCGGGCTGAGGGATCTGGTGGAGTTGAGAATGGTCAGTGTGAGGTTAATGGTTGGACTGGATGATCTGTAAGGTCTTTTCCAACCGAGATGATTCTGTATTCTGATATGACCTGATGAAGACAGGGCTCAATGGCTCATGTCACCTTTGCTGAAGTGAAATGGCTTTTAATGGTGTCATGTAACAGGAGGATAATATCTTACCTTTCACCTCCCCTGTAACTGTAACGGACTTAGTGACTTCTACTACTGTGTGCAAATGACCCTCCAACAGAAGAGAAGGCTGCGTTACTTTGTTTCACTTGGTGTGCTCCTTCCAAAGCTTGTTTAGAAAAAACAAAACAAAACAAAACAAAAAAACCAAAAAACCCCAAACCCACAACCAAAACCCACAAACATTGCCTCTTAAAATGTTACTTTTCACATCAAATGGCTTCTTTGGCATGTAGCAGCTGCTGCATAGAGTCTTAACTGCAGCGTTCCCTGCTGAACAGCAAAGTGGGTCTGCTTTATTACTTGAATTTCTACTGCTGGAATTTGCCAGGGTTTTAAGAAGGAATGCAAGGAAGCATCAGCCAATTATTTAACTAGATTACAGAATAAATACTTTGCCTTGTCCATCATGCATACTTACTGAAGTGAAGTGATTTTGGGATGGGAGAGAGGAAGAGCAGGAAGGCTGTTGCCCACCTCTAACAGAGGTCTGGCAAAAACTGGCTTGTCCGTTAATGGAGTTAGGCATATCTGAGTATCAACAAGTTGGTGCACCGTGTGCATGCACTTAATCACTTCACAATTCTCCAGCACTGTTAAGCTTCAGACTGAGAAATAAGCTATTTCAGTGGTTGATCAAGACTCTGGACTGTAAGGTATTTATTAACTTCAGTGCTAAAGATGGGAACAAAGTAATCTATCATAAGACTCAGTTCCTGTAAAAAAATGAACCAGTTCACAGCACACAACTTTGCGAGAGCAGTGGCCTGAACAACTTCAGGAGATGAGAGCAAAATGCAGGTGACCTTACTCTTGTGCTTACATAAAACCTCCTGGAAACTATCCTGATTCAGCTGAAACAGCACAACCTTTATGGAGTGGGCAAAATCATATTGAAAAGAAACAACAATACTGGTACGGTATCTGCGTTTATGCAGCTATCTCTGGGTTCACAACAGGGGTTGCATCTGTGAATTCATAGAGACTTATAAAACAAATTAAACAAGTCCAGCGGACAGTGGTGACCTGTTCATTCCCACCCACTATGGCTCACCTTTTCTTGAAGGCTGGGACACAGTCAGAACTCCCTGCTCTCGGGAATGGAAGCTGTCACCTCAAAATATTTGTAGTGGTAAAATCCAGAGTGTGTAAGAGTGACAAAGGAAGGACAAGTGGACCATGAGTTTCATCCACAGTATTCTGGATACCTTTGAACTCAGCACCATTACTACTTCACACATTGTTTTTAAACTCTTGGCTGGCACAAGTCAACCATGGTTTGTTTGCATTTCTTCCACTCTAAGATGATGGAGACTTTCACAGAATCACAGAATCATCAGATTGGAAAAGACCTTGAAGCTCCTCCAGTCCAACCACTAACCTCACACTGACCGTTCCCAACTCCACCAGATCCCTCAGCACTGGGTCAACCCGACTCTTCAACCCCTCCAGGGATGGGGACTCCCCCCCTGCCCAAGAACCCCTTCTGCAAAGAAATACTTCTTAAGAGCCAGTCTGACCCTGCCCTGGTACAGCTTGAGGCCATTCCCTCTTGTCCTATCTCTTGTTCCTTGGTTCAAGAGACTCATAAAGAGACTTCTGTGCAGATGAAGTGTTTTAAGTGAGTGGGAGATGGCTGCTCGTTTCTTTTTGATTCCTCCATGCATCACACGGAAGCAAGTCTGTTTCTTAAGCCTGGACTTTGGCAGGGCAAAGTTCCCTTGGGCAGCAGTGAATCTTCTCATTGTCATCACACAGGGCTGATGCTTCTTCCAACGGGCAATTACTGATTACACCGCTGTTAATCTGTGTCCAAAGGGTGAAGAATTGAAACCACAGATCTTGAGTTGCCTCTTCATATATGGTACAGCCAGGGTCAGCTCCATATCAATCTGTAAGCTGGGTCAGGCCTCTTCGCCTGACAGCTTTACGTATTGCAGGTTAACTCAATGCTCAAGAGTAAAGCTGTCTTTTCACACCCGGACAAGGAGATACGCTGAGGTATTTCTGGGGAGGCGCCTCTGGTTTGGTGCTCCCCCACCAACGGGTCTTCAAGGACCAAAGCAGACAAACCCTGGACAAAGGAAGGGTCGGGGAGGCCGCAGGCCAGGCCCTGCCACCAGAAGCTGCAACAGAGTGAGGCCTTGGCGCACAGGCTGGAGCGCGCCCCTCCTCTGGGCTCTGAGGATGAGTGAAAAGGGCGGCAAGGAGGACGTTCTTTAATTTTTCAGTTAGAGGGACTCTGAGCTTTTGCTCAGCCGGGTGCGTGGCCCTTCGAAGGCACCAAGTGCCACTTCCAGGCCCCCGCGGGCACCGGCTGGCCGGCCCCGCCAGCTGTAACGGTGCCCTG